GGTGAGCATAAGTGACCTTACCTAGTTCCCGCAGTTCGTCTAGTTTATTCGGCGAACTTCGTATAATTGTATCGATGCAACACAGATGGCAGGCGACTTCTGTTTTCCCAGAATGCCTCCAGCGTGGATGCCGCCATCTGCGATGCCGGAAAGACCACGTTTGATCGGCCTAGGTCTGAGGTCATCGTCCCTTCCTAGCATCCGTAAAACGCTTTGGGTTATCACTTTCTTGAGGTTCATGGTATTTTTGGGGGACCCTCGCGAGAATCGTAGCGAATATCCCTAGTGTCTGGGTTTTCTAGTATGCCTTGCATTATTAGGCTTCTTACCCCAAAGTAAGCGTCACTGCCGTCGCCGAGGGTTTCCTTACAGTCATGCTAGGACTGGAACTTCTCTGGAAGGGGCTACTTCGAATGAATCTTACATTTTACCATAAAAAACTCCCTAAGCAAGTGCAGTCATGTGGCCCGGAAATTGAAATAGTTGTAACATCTACTCACCATTTACGTAATCACAATCTATCAGCTGAAAATGAGTGTTATAAGACCAAATTGTGAAGAAACTTCATCAATAAGTTCTCTCACGTCCGGAATAGACTTCCTGAGGAAATACGTACTGCAGATTTATTGTCTATCTTTCGTCCTGCACTTAATAAGCTCCTAACAGGTGATGAGCCTATCACTCGCCTAGGCACTATATATACGTTCTGGGTTAATGAAAAAATACCAGGACCTCTAAAAGTATAGAGTAAGGCTGTCGTAAATCTCAAGTACCTTTTATCCCAATGGACCCATAAAGGGTGCGTGATTACCAGTCCATCTGGTCGGATTGTGCGGTACAAATATATAGGCAGTGTTCCCTTTAAGTTTACCAACAAAAACTGGCCATTTAATAACTCTCGTGAACTTCATGTAAGAAAAAAAGGAAGAGTTATTTCTGTATGCATAAATTAAATTTTACATAAAGTTTCAATGACTAAAAGACAAGAACTTCCCTCCTCCCAGTTTGTTTTACGTGGTATTCCATTGTCCAGTTTCTCCTTGCGCTTTCTTTTCTCTTCTCTCTTCGGTATCAGCCTGACGAGGAAGTCCTAAGCATTAGTTCGATCGAAAAGCATCAAATTACTGGAAATCCTACTTCGTACGTAACACTGGAAACTGACATTGGAAGTATCCAACTGGTTTCCTCCCAGTTTCCCGTTTCTTGAACAGCTTCACAACCAACTCACTTTCCTACCAGTACCCTGAATAATGCCACATACAAAACCCCAAGCACAGTAACTGGTCTCCGATTTCTGGTCCGTGATAGATGCAGCGGAAATCTGGATAAATAATGAAACCCAGGAAATCACTTTACCTAAGGGCAACACATCCATAATAATGCTATGCAACCGATTTCTCCAGTACTTTGTCTTGCATCGATCCATCTGACAGAAGTCAATTAACAGCCTATGTATCTCCTTGACAATGTTGCATACTTTAATGTGAAGTCTATGAGGTTTTACACATGTGTAGTATCCACCACCGTTGAACGACGATTCTTCCATTCTTCCATTACTTGCACCACAACAAATGTTCTCAGTACTACCGATCTAAGTTGCTGGAAAAGGTAACACCTGAAGGGTGAGAAACGCCTGAACTTAGACATTCACCTGGATTAAATGATTGCATGGAAACTTACTTATTCCTGAGATTATTGAGGCAAGTTATTGTTTGTCAGTAGAGCTACGAACATAAGAATTACTGTTAAAATAGACGTTTATCTGACCAAAGAATGGGTTTTGCAGGTGGGTCAATCATTTCAACTGTACTTGACACAGACACCGAATATTGCGCCGTTTGACGTGAAATAAGAATCGTGAGTAGGAATGACTTAAACTCAAAACGATGTGTCTGTACTGTAAAGTGATATTCTCCTGCTATTTTCGTAACATTTGGACACTCGGTATCATGGTAGGCTTTAATGTCATCCCTCTGCACCATTCAACACTGTTCAAACCTTTTATGTTTCCCAGTAATTATCAAATTGGGGAGGCCTGTAAACTGGCTTCTCTCATTTTAACTTCATAACTTGAGAATAAAGATATTTATTTATTTATTTTCATTACAGTGTGGAATATCCGATAGTGTCCTTGCTCCTCCTAAGGCTCTTACCACGTGAGATGCTGAGAGAACATCTTAGAAGTCACCTGGGCTGGGGAAGGTAAGCCCTAAGAGTCGGGGCTTGTCCTTAGCTATCTGATAGGGGACCGCTCGAGAGCCCAGTTGGAGCTACCCGATTAATGTGTTCTAGCTTGAGCTTTCTTTATACGTTCTCCCTCAGAGCCCTACCGTTCTTGTCTTGAAGGCTGTACGAGACATCAAGGCTATCCGCCAGGTTCACGACGATCATAGAATCGTCTGGACAGAGGTTTGATTCGTCAACTGTTGACGCTTGTAGGCCTTTGGTTGAGTTTTCATCTTTCCTTCAGCCTTGCCCTCGTTCGTGGATAACACGTTTGCCTGCTTTGTGAGTCCATGAGCCACCAGCATGGTCAGTTGTCCACCTCACTTCCTTGCAGACTCAGGCATAGCCTTCCAAATTTCCAGATTACCCTGCTTCGGCTTCCTCCCGGTGCTTCCCACCTTTCCATACCTGATGGGTTTGACTGGAGCTGAAATCCGATTAATCTTATTTCGTTCAATGAACGTCCACTCTCCGCCTTGAGCATCCTTGCTCAGTATGACCGTTTCCCTTTGCGTCTCATCTGTTAACGACAAAATACTGGTGAAGGATTGTAAGACAGTTGATGTTACTGTGCAGCCGAGGTGCAACACGTCTTCCGTCAAACCAGTTTCTCTCTCTTGTCGGATGAATTGGGCACTTTTTCTGCTAGTCGATTTTCAAACTCCGAAACTCTCATGCTTGGGCACTTCTTTTGAACTTTCCAGTTTCCCTTTTTTTGGTTTATTGCCAGCTTGTCGACGACGTTCTCAAGAGCATCGCAGAGTGGGAATCTACACAAGCGGCAATGCCACTTGTGACCAGGTTTGCTGAGCTTGGTGTACTCAGTTTGAGTTAAGTCTGTGCAGGCGCCATGGAACCACCCGTTGCAGGTATCACGTTGCTCACCCATCTGAATAGGTTGATGACAGCCCTGCCTCCTGCACGTCCGTTTGGCTACTACTGTCGTAAAAAATATGATAAGGGTAAAACTTGAAAATGAACAGAAACCTTGGCGTTATCAGATTAAACTGAAGCTGGAACAGAAGTAAGGCCCCGTTATCCTAGTATGGACAGTAATATACGTGAAAATAGGATAAACTTATCGAACCAGAAGCTTGAGAGAATACTCTTACTGAGAACCAGGGCCTTCGTTGCGTTTTCCGCAACAAAAGCCGAAATGCTGAATCATGGTAAGATTACGCCTCCTTCCAAAAAGCGCGCCTGTAAGTTTTCTAAATCTCTTCTCTTTGTCCCATTGCAGACAGAGGGGATATCTGATCACGCTATACGGGATTCTAAGAAATGACTTCGGACCTGATCTACCTTCTCTTCACTAGGCCGTTACACTACAAACAACATAGCGAGGGAATAAAAAAACGATGAGCCCTGTGTCTGCAGAGTACAGGTTCCTGCGTCCGATACCAAACTTCTGGAACTAACCCCCACAGCAAGTGTTATCCGTGTCACCAGTGGTCAAGCGCAGAGATCTACTGGAGAAGGGTTAGTATACGACCATGGCCCTCTACTCCCAAACAACAAATGTTAATCCGAAGTCCGTCTGGGGAAGTATAGAAGTCACGAAAAGGTGAATTAACTACACAAAGGATCCTATTTAGGTCGATCAGACAACTTTGAGCCCCAACATATGCGATTCAGGCCGGGGGACATAACCATGATTCATTATGTCACCGATAATCTCTTTCAACTTAGCATGTGCCCCTGGAGCCCCAAATAGAAATGTCATTCTAGAGGTCACGCCTGAGGAGAAGAGCACCACAGGGGACGAAAGAATGTCTGTGAAAACTCGGTCGCTATTAGGACAGGTACACCTCAGAATTCTCCCCTGAGTTTGCTACTGTTGCCTCTCCTAAAGTTTCCCAAAGGAGGCCGGACACCAGCCCAGAGTCATGACTTGTGACTGGGATGTGCTAGAGAAGCCATCCGTCTTCTTACCGGTTTCCGGTTTCATAAATGTAACGAGGAAGCTGGTTAACAATGACTGATTATCTGGATAGGGGGAAACTAAGCCTATAACAGCAGGTTGGGCAACAGATGCAGCTTTTAGTCAGTAAGGGTTGTAAAACCCCAGAATGCCTTTCCTCCAAAAGTGACCCAGGCTACTTCATCTGAACCCTTTAAACACCGACTTGACACTTACTTGAGATGAGTGTGGGATGGCCTCAAAAATAACTGAACTTTCGTGAGCTGACCGCCAATTTTTGCTGTCTCTTCGAGTTCACGCTTGGCAACAACCCCAATAAGTAGTGATCAATGAATCCTAGATGCGAAAACCAGTTGAGCGGAAGCTTCTCCCGTTTCGTCGGTAATCATTTTACTCAATTGAAACCCACATATATATATGCCAAAACTAATGTCTAGGACATCACAGGGGAGGAGCGAAGGTTTTTGCCCACTCAGTTACTGCTATGAGCGCCAAGGATTGAAATTCAACCCCTGAATTTGTTGCCACCGCTTCTTCTGAAGTTTTCCAAAGGAGGCTAAACTTCCACTTAGATTTTCCGAGGTGCTAATAGGGGTTAATGAGGAAGCTACTCTTCTTCTCTCTGATTTTCGGTTGCGACATTGTTGTAACAGAGCTGATTGGTAATACCTGATTATTTGAGTACTTTAAGGTCCCCTGGGACCAGAATAAGAAGTGCAAATATTCCGGTCAAAAAATGTTTTGCGATGACACGGGTGTAGAGCCCAAATAAAGCCGTTCACTATTTCTACAAAAATACGTTTGAAGTTTTGTTGGATATTGAATGACAGGCATTGGACTTCGACTAGTCTGTCTTTTTATTAGTTTGACTACCTGTGGTTTGTGGCGCCTAAAAAAGATTCCTGGAAGAAATGGCGAAGTCGAGTGCAAAGCCGCGGACCACACTAACGGAAGATGAGCTTTATGAAATAGAGAAGCAAGAGTTTGAAACTGGACCTCTTTCAGTATTGACGAATGCAGTGAAGAACAACACACAGGTAGGCTTCCATTGCGTCAGTGTGCACATAAATCATCTTTGTGAGGAAATATTTTGTCAGTATGGTTTTATTTGGAAGATATTATTGCCAAATTAGGTATGCATCTAGTGCTGCATATGGGAATTTAGAAGTTTTCGCTTCACCCTGTAATTTTATGCAATTTTCTCACTATAACGAGTTCAAAAAGACTAGTAGCAGAACTGGGATGCATGCATGTATTTCGCGGATTCTTCTCAGCTGCTTTACAATCCGTAGAATATAATGTTCATGATGAAAAGTACGTTTTGCAACGTACTTTAGTGAATCAGCAAGATTTTTTACGAGTTGATATAGGTAACTAAGATTTAGGTTGCCGGATATTGATGAAATTATTCAGGTTAATCAAAGGTTAATTGTTCATACAGTGATCGAATGAACTTTCGAGAGAAGATAGAAAAAGGAAAACTTATATATATATATGTACGTAAATTGGAGAGGGTTGTTCACAATGCCATTCTTTAATTAGTGAATGCGTTATGGTTAACTAGACGTAATAAATGGTCAACACATTTCCATCATATTGGGAAACAGGATGAATACGACCCAGAAAGAGAGTAGGTCTCGAACTATATCTTAAAATAAAGTGATGAAAGTTTATGGGTCATGATATCTTGTACTTACAAATTTAGGAGAGTAAAACCATCCGGATAATTCAAAATTGAAACCAGTATTTTTTTGAATACACAGATAAGGTCCAAGTCTTCTAATTTTAACTGCTTTAGCAAACCGCAAAACCGTGGTTCCAGTCTTTTTCTTACTGTAAAGGACTTTAATACATCAACTTTATGTCAAGTATCAAGTAAGTGCCGACTAATTGCACTGTTTAGACTCTGTGCACCCTTCAGACTCAAGTTCTTCGGAATATGTTCATAAATTCGGACATAGACCCTTTTCTCTGTTCTCCCGATGTATGTGCTTTGACACGCACATGTAAATTTGTGGATGCAGTTAAGGGCAATAAGTGTTGGGAACTTATCCACTTTGCACTGTCCGAACTGGCATCTAGTCTGATACATAGACTGACTTAGCAGCTGGATGGACCACTTTTACTTCAACACAGTCTATGACATCCATGTGGCTTTTTCATTCCTTTTGAAGGTAAGGTGTAGACAGACGGGCTTGTCAATTGCACTGTACTTAATTCTCTTCTCTGTAGTTGTCAATTAAATTTTATGGGTAACCATTTTCGCGTAGACAGTTTCCGACAAAGGTCAGGTCAATATTTTCTACTGAACACAGTTTACGTGTTCGGTTAAACACGTCATTTCCAGACATTTTTTGTGATTGATTGGGAAAAAGCTGTTGAAGTCTTAATAAGGCACACTCCACATATCTTTCCTATGAAAGTATCATCTGTATAACGTCGTAGGCCGAGGTTTAAGAGATGAAGTCTGTTGTCATGTTCACTTTCCGTTAGATCCTAAACTGGAGTGCACTTCACTAGAAGTATTCAGTGAACGAGAGTCATACCAATATTGCATACAACAAATGCATCGTCAACATACCTTGGGTAGGATGCTGTTCGATTGCATATTTCGCTTCATCTGTTCTGGAATTACCTTGAAAACACCAACAAGGATCAGGCCCAGAGGGCTGCCCATGGGGACTCTATCGTTCTGGTGGCATAGGACGTTATTGAATTAAAATTCGAAATTCTCTGCACACAGCAGAAGCTGTTTGGATTCATATTTTGGAAGTGGAAGTGGTTCTGGATACTAACATATGATACCTACCATCTTTTCCAGTGATATCTTTGTAAATAAGAATGATGCGTCAAAGGAGACCGTGAATTTCTGCAAGAATAAGATCCTCCACCATTTCTCTAAATTCAGAGGTATCTTCCAGATTACACATGGCCAGTTTTGTGCGGATGGGTTCTAAGTGTCTTGCCAGCCATCGGCAAGCTTGTGAAACGGTGAGTTGACCATTGATTGTATTGGTCTCATCGAAATATCAGCTTTGTGCACTTTCAGTAAGCCATACAAATATGGTAATCGAAATCCACAAGGTTTAAGCTCATTATAGGTTGATATACCTATTAACTTCCTCTTCAAAAGTCCCGTCTTTCAGCTAACTCTGTCATGTCTTTCTTCGTGTGATCAGTTTGAAATCTCGATGAGTCATCTTGTCCAAGTATTTGTCCCTGTCCATTATGACAACACTGCTGGCTTTGTCTGGTCGAAGCTGTGGCTCAGTGGTTTAAGATGACTACCAACCATTGGGTCATGGGTTTTAGCTCCGGTCCACCTACTGAGGTTTGGGTAGCCAGGTGGTATCGTTAGCCCTCATATATTAGGTGTTGCTCATTGCCTGTTGCGCGAATGTGCACAAGGTAGCTGGGTGCGTTGCGTCCGGTCGAGGAATCACGATGTCTTCATTCATTAAATTAGTTAACGGTGTTTGGTGATTCTTAGATAAAACAGATTTCGCAAATGGCGAAGCGATATACTGACTAGCAACATCAGAGACCTCGGATCTAAATGCCTTATTTTTCATCACCTACTAATTTCAACTGGTTGCAAAGCTTTTCGAGCTGCGTCTTTATCTATTCTGTTGCACTTCTTGGGGATATGAAATCTGAATCCAAGTGAAAGTGCTTCCTCTTCGGTTAATTCAGTCCCAAGGTGGATAAGTTGTGTATGTACTCATGATTTCTGGGAATACCGTAACTCCGTTGTTCTTTTACAATAATTCTAGATAGGATTTTATCGAGCATTCCGCAACCTTTTAACTGAACTTCGTGGACGAAATTCAGAAGTTTTATTCTGCAAATCAGATTCAAATATCTGACAGCGTCAAACCCGGTAGGCTCGTATGGTGGTTTCGAAAGAAGACTTTTCCTACTAAATCTAGAAAAACACTGCACAACCGTCTTCCATTTATTTATGTATACACACATGTATATATAAATTTCCCCTCAAAATATTAACATTTCAGTAGTCTTAGCAACTTTACCAATGTCTATCAACCTAAGACTTTGTTGCCTACAGTCTGAATTTGAAAAATTCTTGTTAATTCTTTAAAGTACTTTGCACAACATACTTTTAATCACGAACATCATTTTCCACAGGTTGTAAAGCAGCTAAAAAGGATCAACGTAACACGCATGCTAGTCCTGCTACTATTGTTCTTCCTATACTGTTTTTATATTATTTGTCTCCTGGGTTCCTAGCTGGACACAAGGCTTCAGTAGCATGTCGCCTCTTCGCTCCCTTCTACACTTTTCCATCTGGCTCCACCACTGCCCAGAAGCCTCCATTTCCTCCTCACACGATCTCTTCCATGTCACCCTCGAACGCCCAACTCGTCGTTTCCCATTTAGCTACGACTTGAGGGCCTGGTCTAGCTCATGATGTCTCCAAACGGTCTTCTCAGTGTATGCCCAATCCAATCCATCTTCACTTACTTCTGCATATTTGTTGGGCGATAGGTTCTTGCTTCGCTGTCAGACAGTTCCCTGTTGCTTATTCTTATTATTCTGGCCGTCTGACCTCCATCTTCAGTATCTAGTGAGCGTAGGCGGCAGATGTTCATGCATGTCTGTAGTTTGTTGGAAATGCTTTTCGTAACACACAAAGTCTCTCAACCATCACAGAAACACTGACTTACTTGACTGTTCGCGCTTTGTGCTGACTGCAGTGCAGTGCAGTAAATCTCCATACTGACTTCAGATTAATGCAGGAAGGCCTGTCCTGCTGCCTTTCCGACCCTGACTGGCTTTGACATCCTCGTCTGTGCCAGTGCTTGTGCCACCGTCTGTAGTTGAAGCGATGCTGCCTAGGTAGGTAGGTGAAAGAGACAACTTCCTTTAGATTCCTCCCGTTCATGGTGATTATTGTTGGTGGTGGTGGTTGGGTATCTTCATCACCTCTGTCTTCTCTACGTTCACCTGAAGGGAGTCCCGTCTTCCCTGCCTCTTCTGCCACCTTCTTAGTTTTCGCTTGTACATCTTCGAGTTTGTGCGGCATAAGACATAAATCATCATTGGCGAAATCCAAATCTTCTAGGGTCTTTTCATCGGTCAAACAGCCAGCGTACGCCCATCTTCTCACAGCTCCTCACAGTTTCTTGCATGATTCAGTCTGGTCGACCACAATCATCGGTGGTGGTAGGCATCCTTGTCTTACTCCTGTCTTCACTTCAAAGGCATCACTGAGCTTTTCATTGTGAATCACTTGACATGTAGCATCATATAGCATATAGTTGTTGAATGAGGTTGATCAAGGTTTGTGCCACTAAAACAGTAGTGTTGAAGCAGCTGACTGCCAAGTTACTTCTCGGTCGGCTTTTTTTCAAAGTCGATGAAGTCGAGGTAAAGAGTTGACTGGCGTTCTATGCTTTGTTTTATGATGATGTGTAGCGTAGCGCTACAATATGATCCGTACATAATTTAGCTTTTCTTGGAAGATAGTGAAGGAAACCTAGTTACTAAAGAAGAGAAACAAAGGAAACGATGGGCTAACCACTTCAAAAAGCTCTCGAATCGACCACAACCATCACCACCACCTGCAACTCGTCCAGAAATACTACCAGCACCCCAGCCACAGGGCTATCTGAACACAAGCCCTCCGACAAAAGCAGAAGTGAAGCTTTGAACGCCATAAAGCTGCTGAAATATGAGAAGACAGCATTACCAGATGGAACTCCGCTAGAGGCGCTAGAAACAGACGTAGAGATATCAGCGTACGTGCTCACACCATACCACTATTGCAGAAAGTTTGGAAGGAAGGAAGGGTACCTGCCTCCTGATTGGAAGAGGGGCTATCTTGTCAAACTTCCAAAGAAGGGCAACCTAAGTCTTTGCAAGAACTGGTGCGGAATCATGTTCCTGTCCACCCCAAACAAAATATTAAGCCGCATCATCCTAGAGAAACTAAACAATGCTCTGGATTCAAAATTACAACCGGAAGAGGTTGACTTCAGGAAAAGCTAAATTATGTACGGATCATATTGTAGCGCTACGCTACACATCATCATAAAACAAAGCATAGAACGCCAGTCAACTCTTTACCTCGACTTCATCGACTTTGAAAAAAAGCCGACCGAGAAGTAACTTGGCAGTCAGCTGCTTCAACACTACTGTTTTAGTGGCACAAACCTTGATCAACCTCATTCAACAACTATATGCTATATGATGCTACATGTCAAGTGATTCACAATGAAAAGCTCAGTGATGCCTTTGAAGTGAAGACAGGAGTAAGACAAGGATGCCTACCACCACCGATGATTGTGGTCGACCAGACTGAATCATGCAAGAAACTGTGAGGAGCTGTGAGAAGATGGGCGTACGCTGGCTGTTTGACCGATGAAAAGACCCTAGAAGATTTGGATTTCGCCAATGATGATTTATGTCTTATGCCGCACAAACTCGAAGATGTACAAGCGAAAACTAAGAAGGTGGTAGAAGAGGCAGGGAAGACGGGACTCCCTTCAGGTGAACGTAGAGAAGACAGAGGTGATGAAGATACCCAACCACCACCACCAACAATAATCACCATGAACGGGAGGAATCTAAAGGAAGTTGTCTCTTTCACCTACCTACCTAGGCAGCATCGCTTCAACTACAGACGGTGGCACAAGCACTGGCACAGACGAGGATGTCAAAGCCAGTCAGGGTCGGAAAGGCAGCAGGACAGGCCTTCCTGCATTAATCTGAAGTCAGTATGGAGATTTACTGCACTGCACTGCAGTCAGCACAAAGCGCGAACAGTCAAGTAAGTCAGTGTTTCTGTGATGGTTGAGAGACTTTGTGTGTTACGAAAAGCATTTCCAACAAACTACAGACATGCATGAACATCTGCCGCCTACGCTCACTAGATACTGAAGATGGAGGTCAGACGGCCAGAATAATAAGAATAAGCAACAGGGAACTGTCTGACAGCGAAGCAAGAACCTATCGCCCAACAAATATGCAGAAGTAAGTGAAGATGGATTGGATTGGGCATACACTGAGAAGACCGTTTGGAGACATCATGAGCTAGACCAGGCCCTCAAGTCGTAGCTAAATGGGAAACGACGAGTTGGGCGTTCGAGGGTGACATGGAAGAGATCGTGTGAGGAGGAAATGGAGGCTTCTGGGCAGTCGTGGAGCCAGATTGTAAAGACTGCAGTGAAGAATAGAATGGCGACGTGCTACTTAAGTTGTATGTTGCCGTAGGAAACCAGGGAACAGATTATGATAATAATAATAATAATAATTAGGCTTCGCTGTCATGTGTTTCTTGTGACCTGTAAGGTAACGACGTACAGGAGCCCGTAATAATTTTATCGTAGTTCAAGAGAAATTAATACAGTCTGTTTCTCTGGCACGACCATCTGTATAGCTTATGTGTAAAAATTCCTTTGATTCGTTCATCCTACAGACGTTTGCAATCGTTATTGTTACAAGAGTTTTAGCAATCCTGTTATGTGTGATTGCCGTCAACACTTGACATGAAAATTCATTTTCTCTTCTCATGTTACTTACCATTGTACAAACTATCGACTATACAACAACCTGTTTAAAGTAGTTATTCTTTACTTCAGTTACTGTTTGAATTACCTGGATTACCCCGTTGATACTTTGAGATTGATGACCTGTTATGGAAGGAAGTAGTTTTATATTTTGAAAATGGTATACATTAGTGTAGAGCTATCGATGAGGAACTATATATTTCTTTGCTTATATTGTTTGTTTTCTAAAATCCAGATGGGAATTTCCGCATAGCTTTTCTTGCGTTTTGCCTTTCTACAGGTCCTTATCAATTGTCGAAACAATAAGAAACTTCTAGCCCGAGTGAAAGCATTTGACCGACATTGCAATATGGTACTAGAAAATGTCAAAGAGATGTGGACTGAAGTACCTCGACCGGGTAAAGGCAGAAAAAAGTCTAAGCCAGTGAATAAAGACAGATTCATCAGTAAATTATTTTTACGTGGTGACTCTGTTATTATTGTCCTTCGAAATCCGCTGGCTACTGCTGCTGCAGTTGCTGCACCTAGATCATAGTGTTATTCTGAATCATTTTATAATTCTGCACCAATATATTGGTTTTGAAAAATAAACTTGAATGTATGCTCAACGACTTATGTTAAACCATTTCTGTGAATTCAATCCCTGTCCGCATTGTCTCGAGATGGAAGTTGAAGTTCAAATTTCAGTCGGGACGATCCGATTAGTTTAGTTTGTTGTTCAGTCATCCTCAAGAAATCCTAAAAGTATTCTACATTATTTCTCTCCACTCAAGAAGTTCTGGTATAAATCAAGATTTATCTAACAGCAATGTCATGAGGTTGACAGTATGGATAGTTGGTAGAATGGTTGTGCAAATTGATTCCTCGACCGTAGGCTGCTACCTTGACGTTGTTTGTCACAATGACCCAATGTGTTACACTGACTGAAAAGCTTGTTCCCTTGAGGTCCTACCATCCCAGAAAGGTCCTTTGGATAGTGGTATGACGAAAGGCAGTTACCGTTGTAGTATAAACTGCTACATTGTGCTGTGCGTCGAAGGGCGAAGTAATACTGCTACTAGCTGGACAGGGATGTGACAGCAGTAGCGTGCTTCCCTTGGATGACTAGCAGTTGTGGGTTAGAAAAGGTGGGCCGAAAAAATAGCACACTCCATGCCCCACGGTCTTCCGGTACCAGTGGTGTGGGCTTTCTCTATCCGGTATAAGAACAGTCAAATCTCATATCGTCAGTCCTCAAAAGGCTGTGTGACAGGTCTCAAGCAGATGTTTCATGTGCTCTGCAGTCACGCAAATCTCTTTCAGGTAGCTAGAGAAGTGAACTCCGACTGTGGGCAGTCGGGAAGTGTCAACCATCCGCACACTTCCAGTAGTACACAAGACGCAACCGGTCATGACCTGTCCTCCTTACATCTGTCTCACTCTTTCTCTTCCCCTCATACCAATATTGCGAGTATCCATAGAGGCAATGGTTTGGTCTTGTGAACACCCTGGCGTAGGTATAACATTGACTTGTAGAGAAGAAAGCGTACTTCTCCACTAGATACTGGCCAACGGCCGACCGCTTGTTGTTCGACGGGTGTGACATTAGAGTCTACTGTTGAAGCAGCAGTAAACAGTGACTTACACCCTAAGGTTAGCAAACGTTGTTGGATTTCCATAACCTCTTCCGAACTGATTTATGCGAGAAGACCGATTCTAGCTGGTCCTGGCCACAATGAGGAACGAAAATAGCTCAAACTTAAGTGGACTAAGAGTCGTCACAATGATCGTGAGCAGTGGTAAGTGGCGAGAGGTGGAGAATGTGTCAGCATTGCGTAATATCTACCAACCATATATGCTTACTAAGAATACTGGGATTAAAAGGCGATGGCTAGTGAAACAAGCACTGTAAAGGATTTGGACCCAGATAACCCCAACACAGGTGCTCATAGAGTTTGGGGGGGAGACTCCGAAGCACAGTTCAACTGGCCCACAGCAGCACCTTCAGTCAACCAGCATCCAACTCGAACCTAGATGGGACATAGATGTGGGTCCTCCAACTCTAGTTGAAGTGGTTGTTTGAAGCCTGAAACGATGGAAAGCAGCTGGACCTGATGGTTCTCGACCGGAGACTTTAAGGATGGGGTTAGTAAGTCAGTGGGAAAATAAACGGAAGTGCCAGGTAGTGTATGAAAGTCAGTAGTTGTCTTGTCAGAGTGGCCAAGATAGGTAATTATTAGTTTATGAGAAAGGAGAGTTTTCTTGAGATAACCATAGGGGAATCAGATTGGCTAATATGATTAAGGTTCTGGTATCTATAGTTATCCTATGCCTAACTGGAGCTCAAAAAAACCAGGCAGATTTCACACCTAGGCGAAAATGCTTTGATCATATTTCCACCCATCTCCAGGTTCTGGAACTCAGGCATACTTATCAGTGGCCGACACTCGTCATACTTTTTGACCCGAATGCAGCATTTGGCTTTGTTGACCGTGTGTTATAGCAGTTCCTGACTACGAAGGGAGGTATCGAGCAAATATGTAACCCTAATCAAAGCTCTCTACTCGAACTCACGCAATCATGTAAGAGCTTATGGGTAGTTGTCATGTGAACTAACAACAACTAGTGTTGTCCACCAAGGATGTCAGCTGTCACCTTTCCTATTTAGTTTCGTTATGGATATGCTAACAGACATGGCCTTAGGTACATGTGATTTCACAGGGACTGGTCTACGCCCTGGAGATTATTTGGGTGACTTGGGGTATGCATGCGTACTATACTGTTAGATGAAGAAACTGATGCAATGCAGGATCTTCTGAACTGAATGCATTGAGCAGGAATCTACGTTTGGCATGCGTTTCGCACCAGTGAAATGCAAAATGACCCTCCAGGACTGATTTGCGAGCACTCCTTGTTTAATGATGGGGACTGAAGTGGTGGATTGCGTCAACCACTTCACTTACCAAACCGAACAGGCTGGTTAGTGACGAAATCTCAGCTCGAATACAGAAGGCCTGTTTGGCACTTACCAACTACCTCTTCTCTGACGCCAACTGGCGAGATATCTGACTATCTACTAAAGGACGAGTACACTACACTCCAGTCCGTCTTGTCCTGTTATACGGTTAGGAGACATGGCCGCTGAAAGTGGAAAACATGAAGCGGTTAGAGGTTCATGACCATCGATATCTTTGTAGGATTACTCTCGTATGCTGGGCTCACCATTTTACCAATGTAGGTGTTAAGTGAAGTGGCTTGCACATGTGTTACTCGTGCCGCCTACCTTGACGTGAGTTGCTGGGGAAATTTGTATTAGGTTAGGACAAGGCTCAGAATGGCTAGAGGACAGCATGAGACCAGTCCATGAAGTCTCTGACTGTCGGTCTGTGCTGTGTAGGTAGGTGTAGACTACCTGGCTAAGGTTTGTGAGACGATAGGAATCAATGGTTGGAGACTTTTGGTGACATGATTGAAAATCGGTGACAATGTCGCAGATGTATTTATTCTTTGACATCTTCTGAAGCTTGAATGTCTCGACTAACCTTAATTTTTAGTTCATTCTTCTCTCATACACCTTTGCTTATTTTGATGTCAGTCTTTTTCTGTCCACTTGTTCTTTGTATACTGCTGTGAGAACTTAAATCTATGCACTTATTTGCGAGACTTTACTTTGATTTTGTTTGTCTGTTTGACCGATATTTATTACACATGTCTAGTCGCCATCTGCCCAGTTTCTACGGGGCTTGCTGACTGACTGATGGTAATCTGAATCTACCACATACTACCAGTAGGTTTCTGTAACAAGTGGATTTTTTAAGGATTCTATGTGACACTAATATAACAAATGCGACTCCTATCAATATTACGTCACTTATCCCATCATTTCCTGCATGTAAATTTATTGTTGCTTCCCAGTGGTTAGTTCTTTTAATCACAAATCACTTACACCGACAGTTAACCTCCTTTGACCGCCTAAAAATAATGTCATCCAACTATTGATGTCTATGGTGAATCAGTGATCAAGTTCACCAGTATAACTATTTGAAGTCAAATTATTACGTTTTTACTCAAGGTTACTCAGCTCTGTAGCAGCTCCTATACATACAGCTAGACTTGATGTAGTAAATGGGAAGTGTAACTAACCAATTGAAAAAAAAACGGAATGCACTCAGTAATCTCATGTAATTTCTTTCAGTAGACAGTGAACCATATCTGTTGTACAACAGCTAGTGATGCTACCCAGTTGGTCACATTTTTGACTCACTGGTTAGATGTTAGGTCCCTAAACCAGTGAACCGTACCTCCTGTAGCCATACTGGAGACTGAAAGTGATGGGTAACTCTTTAGTTGCATATCTTTTTAAGATGTAGAAACTCTCGCACAAGCTAATCAGTTGAAGTTGCTACACTTCACAGCAGCATGTAAGAAACAAGTGGATAAAAGAAAACTGATATCAAAGTGGACAAAAGTGTTTGAAAGGAGAAACGATTAGCAAACTGAGATCAGTAAGAATGTTTAACCCTTAAAAGAAGTCAAAGTGTGAAAATATCGCGTCATTGTGACCAAAAAGATCATCTTCAAAAATCTTGGACATGCATCAAACCTCTTTCTTCAGGTAACTCAAGCACTGATCTTTTATGGTGTAGGCAGGCAGAACGAGTCAACTGCCCTCAAGCTTCCGGCGGTATTCACAACCCTATCAACTCTAAACTATCCTCCTTACCTCTGTCTCCTTCTGATACTAATATTAAGCCTCTTACAACTTTCTCAACCTCTACATGTACGATCATTGCCAAGTATCTAAGTCATCGAAACGTCTCTTAGAACCCCGTTGTCAACTTGGTATTGGACAAAAGAAATCACTCGCCAGAACTCTGGTATCTCTAGCCATGGGTGTATGCTGTATTTCTGAGACATCTATACAGAACTTGAGTGTGATGACCAACTCAACTTCACATGGCCATTTTACTGTCTTCAAAATTCACCACATGAGTATCCAGAGCAGTCGTGGACTCACTGGTGTAGGAATTGTATTGAGTTCTACAGCAGAAAGTGCACTCCTCGACTGGACACTAGTCAAGAAACAGCTTTCAGTATGCTGTTCAGTTAATTGGGTCTGTATGAGCTAGGAACGATCATGAGACTGGTTGGTACCTATTCCTAATCTCCGCCTAGGCAGACACCGACTGCGGTTCTGATGACTCAAAGGATGAATTCTATGAGAAGCTGTCAGTTTTGATACAGAAAGCAAACCTTTCAGACATAGTCATAATGGCAGGTGACTTCACTGCTCAAGTAGGGAAGTTGAGTCAATCGGAAAGGCATGTTTGAGGTATCTACGACATAACATGCTGACAACAAGGATTGTCCGTTACAATTTTGTTTGTCAGTCACTTACTGCTGGTCAGCACTAATTTGAAGCATGATTAGAGACACTGTCTCACATGGTGTCCACCGAGATCAAGCCGACGATAGACTCAGATAGATCATATCACTGTAAGCCTTTGTTGCAGAATATCAGTGGAGGATTCTCGCTGTTTCTCAAGTACCTATTTGAAATAAGACCACGTGTAAGTATGAGAAAGTACAGGTTTGCGCTCTACTGGTTGCAAAAACAAGACAGTAAAGCCTG